CTTAATATAGGCTTAATCTCCTATTTTACCTTTTACTATATGGATTCTAAGATTATTGGTCTCATCTTAAACTTAAAAGAATTAATTTCTCAATAGCATAATTTAAAAAATTTCTTTTTATTTACAAATTTAAAGTGCATATAGTTAATTAGACAATTTTAGTTCTTGTTGAAACAATTTCTAATTATCTTTTGGGTAACTTAAGCAGAGGAGCTCTCTCTTGGATCAGGGCGATCATGTTTTATCTAATTAAAGAAAAGATTTGTTTAATTTGTGTATTAACGTAAGTTAAAGAAGCATTAATTATAATTTTTTGTAATTGATTTATATAAAAAAATAAAAATTGATTTTAAATTTATTAATTATTTAATTAAAATCATTCAAATGGTATTATTGTTAAAATAAATATCTTATTTTTGTTTTTGTATAATAATTTATTACAAAATATTATATTTAATATATTTTAATTTATATCTTCAAAATACAAATTAAATAACTCGTTTAGGTGAGACTGAGGAAAAGTTAAAATTTAAAAGTTCGTTCAAACAATGCTTTGTTTCTTGGCCTTCCACCACATTGGATGTTAATGATGTTTCCCGCACTAAAAAAAAGTATAGTGAATATTAAAGTGAATAAAATAAATTTTAGATATAAATGAATTTTTAAATAATAAAAATTATTTATTTATATATTTATATTTTATAATTCCATATAATTTAAATAATAAAATAACAAGTCTTCTCCATTACCACTCCGTGTCGAAAGCAAAGGATGCTTTATGGAACTCAACCCCCGAGTATTCCCATATTTTGTCCAACTTGTAGGTTGTCGTATTCTCGTATTTAAAAAAAGTATTGTAAGTTGCATTAGGGTTGATAATTTAAATTATTGGATGAGAATGAATTTTTAAAAGATTAGGAAAAATTAAGATATTTTAATAATTAAAATATTAAGATTGATAATAAAAAAAATTAAAATATTTTTAATAAATCAACACATTAAAAGGATTAGTTAAGAATATTTGAATAATTTTATAATAAATTTTGATATTTAAAGTATTAATATAT